ATTTTGGCTCTTATTAGTTGGCATATAGTACATGGAGTAAATATATGGTACTAATATGATGGAAGAAGTAGATAAGTTTAATTACAAAATGCAGTTTGTGGAGTTGAAATCAAGTTATACAAAGGATTACCAATCACATAATGCAAAATAAGTGTGTGAGTAGCCAATCAAAATCTCAATATTTACACAAATAAGAGTTAATATATATATTTTATATTTTCATAAAAATTATTCTTAATCGATTACCATTTACCAGAAAATAGATTTAGTGACAATTTTATTTTCCAGAACATGTACTATGTACTACTTGTTGGGAAGAATAAATGGATCTCACATGACATTAGAAAAAGTTTTTCTTGGATAATATGAAGACTATGGAAAAACATAAATAGTCACATATTTGAAGGAGAAAGATTTCCATCAATTGACTTGGTGCAAAAGATTGATGTCAATGAATGTTTAGTGCTCAGGTGGTGGAACGGAGATTGGATGCAAATCACATTGAGTCTAGGAACAAGAACAAGAAAAGGTGGAATCCTCCTCCGAAATCCTGGCTAAAATGCAATTTTGCTTCCTCTTGGAACAAACACAATTGTACCTAAAGTGCAGTGTGGGTGCTAAGAGATGAGTTAGGATGTGTTTGGTTGCACAATAGAAAGAGTTTTTGTGATGTGGAATATGAAATGGATGCAAAGCTCCACAATTTCCTTTGTTCTATTGAGAGTATGGCCATCCTAAGACTCACACAAATCATCTTTGCATCGGATGTGGTGGATCTCCTAGGGATTATGATCAGACCACCAGCATGGTCCTCTTTTAGGTATCGGTCTCCCGAGGCAGTACGGATTCTACATGAAGTTCAAACTTGGGACTTGCATGGGATTAGAAGACCCGTCATCGAATCAAGGTACAAGTAGGATTGCCAAAAGCGTAACATTAGAGGATCGAAGACAATTATATGTAGCGGTGGGGTTTTTCTTCTGCTTCCAGGAGCTCTTTGAGTTAGAAATGAGGATGCTATCCTCAACTCAAAGTCTTTGAGGTATTGTCGTTTTTGGGGATTTGATTGGTTTCGATCCACTGAATTGTGTACCGGTGAATATCTCTAAAATTTGGCTTTGGCCACAATTTTTTTAGGGAATGGTGTAATTATTTCTGTGAAATAAAATCAATTTCAGATGTAAAAAAAAAACCTTGCCCTGCATACAAAATAAGTGTTGTATGCTCGATCACTCAAGTTGTATCATATTGCAACCGTTAGTCAAATCATTTCACCATCATCTATAAAATTCCCATAATCATTTAATCGTAAAACCAATGTTAGAGGTGACATTACCACACAACAAAAAAGTTTTTTTTAAACACTTTGTTTTATTAAAACTGATATACATCATCGAAGAAGTTCAATAAAATACAAAAAAAAAACTAATGGTCATTTTCGCACCATAGATTAATCGAGAATAATGATCGAATCGTTAACGAAACAAATACTTTACTCACCAACTTATTATTTTGTTCTCGAGCCAAACTTAGCTCATGTCGGAAAGACAATAACACCACTAACGATTACTCGAATTTACAGAAGAACCCAACACCATTCAGAAGAAAAATCCAATCGAATCTACAAAAACACCATAACAAGTAAAAAAAAACAAGATCAGGCAAATAAAACGACGTAGTTTTATCGGGAAAAACAGACTTCGGAATTCCCGAGGAGTGAGTGAGAGATTATTATGCCTTTCTCCTCTTACATCGGCAACACCCGCCGCGGTGGCTCCGGCGGTAGCAGCTCCACCGGTGGCTCCAGCGGTTGGGGCCAATCCCTTCTCCCGACAGCTTTATCAAAATCCAAACTAGCCATCAATCGAAAACCACGAAAACGAACACTCCTCATCAATTTCCTATTCGCAAACTTCTTCACCATCGCTCTCGTAATCTCACTCCTCTTCTTCTTCCTTACCCTCTTCCATTTCGGCGTACCGGGACCGATCTCCTCACGTTTCCTCGGCTCCAGATCCAATCGAATCGTCAAGCCACGCAAGAACATCAATCGGCGACCTGTGAACGGTTCTTCTGTCTCCGGCGCCGTCGTCGATGTCACTACTAAGGATCTGTACGACAGGATCGAGTTTTTGGATGTTGATGGTGGTCCTTGGAAACAGGGTTGGAGAGTTACGTATAAAGGCGATGAGTGGGAGAAAGAGAAGCTCAAAATCTTCGTTGTTCCTCATTCTCATAACGATCCTGGTTGGAAATTGACTGTTGACGAGTATTACCAGAGACAGTCCAGGCATATACTTGACACCATTGTTGAGACTTTATCAAAGGTGACTTCAAAATTCAATCTTTTTTTCTCTCCCATATTTTCCTCGTGAATGATCCAAGATTTCTCATGACGTCACTGAACTCTAAAGTGTGAATCACATTGAAAGTTTGTCACTTTTTTGGAAAATTGCAGTTTTTGTAGATAAAGTTTGTTGTTGTAA